TCGTCCATCTCCTCTGGGGACCGCAGGCAGTGTTTGCTGCAAGGAAGGACCTGGCTCTTGGGACCAGCAGATGTTACTATTTATGGAGGACATTTTTTTTTTTGCAGAAACAGCTTCCAAGGGACAGTAGCTAATGTTTAAGCAGTGACTTTTTACCCAGGGAAAACAGACGTGCTTTACTGCTTAGAGCAGGAAGGGAGCAGGCTAGTGCCACAGGCATGCGTAGGCAGGGCACAATGGGTGCTTGACTTCTGTGCCCAGCCACCCTCCTGGTGCAGATTTCATGAGAGGAAGACCTGTATCCTGACACAGATACTAGAGACACCCCAGATGTGGGCCAAGCCAAGCTGGGCACAAGAGCCAGTGTGGAGGGAAGGAGGGAGCCACCAAACAGAAGAGCACAGCTCTTGCCCCTTGGAAGCTGCTGACCCAGCTGGCCCTTCCCAGGCAGAAATGCTCTCAGGCAAAGTAAGGAGGCTGCCCCTGATGCCATGGAAGTTTTGAGAAAGTGGCTTCTGAGTTGCACACATACATCCGAGGGTACACTTTATCCAGATGCTCACTCCAAGAGGGTAAGTAAAATTGAAGATTGCCCTCCCTCTTATTTTTAATCCATGCCCCATGAAAAATGCATCTGCAGAGCCTCTCTAGTCCAGGGAGCACAGTGAGGATCACAACACATGCCAGCAGAATGGTACAGTTGTGTGTGCACTACCCCCACCATGATATTAGCCAGCTGGTCTGGATGTAGTCTAGCGCCGATACACGGATTCAGAGAAAGCAGTAAATCAGCTTGTGTTAGAGCCAACCCCTGACACACAGAAATAATGAGGCATGCCCATAATAAACCAGGGATTAGCCTTAAAGTTTTTTTTTGTTGTTGTTGTTTTTAAAGCATAATAAATGTTGTGCTGCTTTTATTTTTCTGCCATTTTTGAATAGTCCATGTACACTTTGCTTAGATACAAAGTAACCTCATGGGTTAAAACTGTGATTGTTCTTAAAATCCAGATCCAAAAGAGACCCTGAAATAACCTGACTGACAGCACTGAGACTCTGCAAATGTTCTGAAATGCCCACTGCTAATGATGTTTTGTTTTGATTGTTTTGTTTTGTAAAAGTCTCAGCGCTCTCAGGTTGGTATAGTTAAATTGCCCCCAAGCTTATGCTTAATGGAGGCTATGACAGGAATGGACTGCCCTATGGTGTCAGGGTAAATATAAGTAGAGAAGTCACTGCACTGCAGTTATCTCTGTGCAGCACAGCAACTTCTAATACGTCAACAACTTGAAAAGAACCTCTCTTCTCTAGACAGCCTTTACCCCTTTATCTTAAAATAGGGTTGGGTGTTCCTGTGTTCCTGGCTTTTTAGGAAACTTCAGCCTGGACTTTTTAACCTTCCTGTCCCAAGTCTCCCGATAATTGAACTGACATAAATAAACCACATGCTTTTAACTGATGGCTCCAACTGCTTGTTTTTTGCCAGTGCTATAGCTAAGCCATGGCTGAGAAAGCCAAGACTTAAATAAATATCCATATATTTACTATGCTGCTGCTCCACTGACTACAAGGAAAACTCAGACAACCTTTGAACTATTGTGGCACCACTACAGTGAAGAGAGATACAGCATCTGATGTGCCTGGGGCTGCCATAAAATAACTGGCATCCCAGTCATTTGTGGTTCAGCATAATGGGGCTTTGGGTTTAGCCACTCCAGCCAAACCAGACCCTTTCTAAATTTCCCATGTTTTTATATTTAAACAAAGTCCAACTCTCCCAGGCTCTGTGAGGAGCAGCAAACCTGGTGGTCCCCATTTTCTGTTTTCTTTTAAAAGCTGGAACATACTGCTGAATTTCCCCCAAACACCACCTATGCTTTCCCTATACTTCACAGTCCCCGCAGCCTCTGCTGCTGATCCCACAGAAACTTCCTCTGTTAATACTCCAAGGAATAGAAGCCATTTGTAGCCAAGCTGGTAGTAATATTGTGGTTGCATGCATGTTTGTAAAGTTTGTTTTGTGTAGATTTAATCTGAGGCGAAATGACTGGACGGAATTTTGTGCTACTTCAGGCCATGCACAGATGTTTTGTCTGAGCTCTCCTTATCTCCTCTTGTGAATCTCAGATCACATAACTTTCTGCTCAGAACCACAATAATATTCACAAGCAAATGGGATGCTTTCAGAAGAAATGTTTAATTATTTGTGAGAAAAAAAAAATAATAACAAATCTCTGCAGACTCTGTAAAGCCTCAGCAAAAAATGTCTGCATGGAGCTCACAGAGAAAAGAGCACCTTCCCTTCCTTCTTCCCTTCCCCACCAGCTTGCCCTGCTGGAAAGAGGACTTCTCCATCAACATCTGGCAGACAGTGAGATGACTGGAAGGAGCCAGTGGCCAGCCCCCAAGCTTGCTTATTTTACCAAAGCTAATGCATGGGGCCGGGAGGCACATCTAGTGAAGAAAAAAACAAGGAAGCACATCTTGGAGTGGAAGGAAAAATAAATGCAGCCGTGGTTGGAAAGGTGGGCCACCAGGTGCACAGGTATGCCTGATGGAAGCCGTTCTCTTTCCTGAGGAAAAGCCCCTTGCTTTGAGCCTTCAGACTAAAATCTGAAAGAAATTAAAAAACAAACAAACAAACAAAAAAAAAAAAAACTCATGACTCAGTACCATGGGGAGTTTTGCTGAAGAGCAGAGGTAGTTAGACAAAGACCCTGCTAAAGGAACTGAGCTTGGCAGCTCAGGTGACTGGAGGAAGAGACTGGTGGCATGTGGGTTAGCTTGTGAGGCAGCTGGATTTGCAGGTCCTTGTGCCCTGGCAAGCAGCACCAAGCAGGGTTGCTTCTGTGTGCACAGAGAGGAGAGCAGGACAAGATATGTCTATAGCTGTACCGCAGGAGAGGAATAATTAAGTGTTATTGTATTCACTTCATTTTTCCACTGCCTTGGCCTCATAATTGTTAGTAAAATACTCTTTGGCGGAGCAATTCATTCTTCTTTGTAAATAGGGAAAATTAATTACCTAGGCAGCAAGTAGTTTAGTTCAACTTTCCCAAGCGTCTGGGTGAGAGGTTGAGCTAGTCTTTTAATAGTGATCCCTCAGATTTGATCCTGGCTTTTCACAGAATCACAGAATCATTTAGGTTCGAAAAGACCTCTAAGATCATATAGTCCAACCTTTAACCTAGCATTGCCCAGTCCACCATTAAACCATGCCACTAAGCACTACTTCCAGTTTTTTTTGACAACCTCCAGGGATGGTGCCTCAAACACTTCCCTGGGCAGCCTGTTTCAATACTTCACAACCCCTTCAGTGAAGAAACTTTTCCAAATGTCCAATCTCAACCTGTCCTGGTGCAACATAAGACCATTTTCTCTTGTCTTATCACTGGGTACTTTGGAGAAGAAACTGACCAGCTCCTTGCTATAGCCTCCTTTAAGGTAATTATAGAACACAATAAGGTCTCCCCTGAGTCTCCTTTTCTTCAAGCTTAGCAACCTGGCTGTCTAAATGGGATACAGGTTTATGATATCTGTGAAGATACAGCTGGTGTTCCTGAGCTGTGTGTAAACAGTTTCCAGCTGAGCACTGCTTGGTGAGCATGTTATTCTCCATTTCTGTACTTTTTGATACATTCTGATCCAGCACTCCAGTACTTTGTTCCTTTGCTGATTTAAGTAAAGTTTCCGGTTCCGTAAGTCTTCCACTGACAGCCTATAATCACTATTTAAGGGAATTCAGCTGTTCTCTGATGTCTTCTAAGCAAAAGGAAGCTAGCAACTTCTTGTTTTAGTCAGGGTCTGCACAGAGAGCAATTTCCTCTCATATTTACTTTGATGCATTTCAATGGTGCTCTCCATTGCTGCAGTTGTGAGGACATTTTAATCTTTTACACAGAAGCACCATTTTTGTGCATGGGTCCACCCACATGTTCCCCTGAGAAGTGAGACAATTCAGATGGCACAGCAAGCCACACATTGAAAGACAGGAAGGCCATGATAAATTTCAGATGCACAACCTTTCTAACATTATTCCTCTTTCGTATAGCACCATAGAATCATCTAAGTTGGAACAGACCTTCAGGATCACCAAGTCCAACCATCAACTTGACCTACTGAGTCCCATCACTAAATCTTATTTCTTAGTGCAATGTCAACAGGTCTCCTAAATACCTCCAGGGATGGGGACTCCACCACTTCCCTGGGCAGCCTGTTCCAGTGCTTGACCACCCTCTCCGTGAGTAAATTCTTCCTAATATCCAATCTAAACCTCCCTTGCATAACTTGTATGTAGCACTGATCTATATTTCCAAGAATTTCTCCTCTGGTATAAGAACCACACACTGCACCAGTGTAATTTCTGTGACTTCTGCCTAACTGCAAAATGGAGTCCAATGTAGTGTGGCAGAGTTTCCACTGACCAAGGAAAATAAATAAATTAATAAGTCAGTATCATGCATTTAAATACATCTGTCAGCTTATTTCACCTCCTAGGAAAATGCTCATTTTATAGTCATTATAATATCTGGGCATTTGATTAGCTGCAGGTCTATAGGAAATTATATTTCTCCATGTATTTTTGGTCTTTCTGGACTGCCCTACAGCTGAGGGGCAACGCATAATGGAGGTCATTGTAACTTGCAAGCCTTTGCCTATGAATTCTCCTGACTGTCTGCATTTATCAGTAACACTGAAGCTGAGGTCAAAAAGACCTATTTTACCATAAGATGAAAAAGAGCAAATAAAAACTGGTTCATCAGCCTTTCAGGCCAAGGGCTGCCCCCCCCTTTTTTTTTCCTAGCACAGTAACATCCTTAGTTTGTTTGGAGTCTTTGGGCATTACTGCAACATAAACATTAAGAAATGATAAGAATACAACAGGAGAATGAAAACCAACCACATATGATGAGTTCTTCCCTCCACAACAAGGGCAGTTAATAGTCTTAAAACACTGTGAGAAAGACATTTTCCCACTGAAAGATTCCACAGGAAATAAGAAAAGTCAGCAACATTTTGACATGACTTTCTAATTGTACTGTTACTCTTTGTATGGGAAATTAATAAGTATTAAAAGCATCTCAGTTTGTTAGCGTGCAATAGAAGAAACCTGACCTTGGTGACCATCCCCCAAAGCAAATATTTGTAAATGTTAAGATAGCAAATGAGGTGTTATTTAAATGAAGGCTCTTTTAAGTTTTCTTAAACCACTCAACTTTCCCAACCCATTGAATGTGGACTTATTTGAATTAATTACAAAATTCTTCATATTGCTTTTCTTTCTTGTGATGGATTTCTGGCTCACAGATTAAGGCGGCTCACATCCATTCCCACAAACTCAGGCACAATAGTGAACATTTACTCTCAGTCCATGAGACCAGATGTAGGGTCTTATTTGAACCTAGGGCGCCATGAGAGCCCTTGGGTTTGGCCACCCTTCCCAGTGTCCTGTTCTGGGAAGCACCCTGTCAGGGTGTTCCTGCCTCACACTAGTCACCCAAAGATATCTGTAACACACAGGTCTCTGCGTTACCAGTTCCCGTGCAGGTCGGTGGAGTAATGCTGCATTTCATTTTATGTTTAAAAATCATAGCACTGGGTAGCATTCAAGTAGTCCAGGGGTCCAGTTTTAAAAAATGAGGATGGTATTTATTAAAATAATATTTTATATTTTTTTATATTTTATATTTAATAGAATAATGTTAAAATAATTGTATTTATCCCTTGGAAAACAGCATTAACATAAACCCAGGATGCAGTGAAAAATAAGTGTACTTTCATAATCCAAATGCAGAAAACATTTACAAGAGCTTTAAATGCCAGTGAAAAGAAACAAAAACTTAGTTATTTCTGTCTACACTTAGATTAGCTCCAAGAGACTTCTTTATGTCATATTTCAGCCCTTTTTCTTTCAAGGCATTTCATGCTCTTATAATGCACACTCTCATTGTCCTTTCCTTTAAAGAGATGAATTAGAGACAAGGAACATTTGACTGTTATACAAATATACCTGACATTGTGTTCCTCATTAAGTCTGTCCTTCCTATCCCTGATCAATCCCTATGACCACAACTCAGTCAAGGTATTAATTTTAACCATTTTATTCTAGATAATATTCTGTGACCTTCCTATTCATGGGGAAACTGATCTAAAATAAAATTCAGTTCTCAGGCCACAGTTCAGGAAACTGATTGCATTCCTTTTTTTTTTTTTTTTGCTTTTTTTTTTTATTCAAAAAAATTTTTTTTTTTTTGGCCACATTTTTACCTAAATGATTCCACAATAGGGCTAGCTCCCAAGCCAGTCAAATGTATGCTGCCATGACTGTTAGACTACCTAGGAGGGAGGAAGGGAGCAGTTTAGGACCACCAAGGAGAAGGAAGCAACTGGGATATGCTCAAGCCAGCCCCACAGCCTGGAGAAAAGTCCATGGACACCTGGCCTTTGGCTGCAAATGCAGGAAATATAGTTATTCCCACTGGCCTCCATATGCCCCCTGAGCAGAGGAAAAGGATTGACATTTACAAAATCTCTGTTAGCTCTTGACTGAGAGCTCAGAGCAATGCTCTGACTGTCAGAGCTGGTTTCTGCAGGGTCCCTTCCCAGGGCTAAGAGGGCACTGGAACTTTGTGTTTTTCCCCGGTGGAGACCCCAGTGCTAAATGGATGCTGTGCACAAAGCTCCATCGTGCAATGCAACATGTGTGTGGCCTCTCCAAGAACATAATATGATATCTTTGCATTGACTCACTAGAAATTAACACTCAAGGCAAGACATTGCTGGAAATAACGTTGGTTAAAGGTAGGGGCTGTCTTTAGTCAAGTAATTTATCAGTTTGCAATCCTAGTTTTTCTGCAAAAGTTTTCATTAACAGAACAAACCTGCAGCCACTACTAAAGATACAAAACAGCTTGAATCTAAGCACCAAAGCCAAAAAAATACCAACAGTGACATAGTTATAAGTTCCTTTGTATGTGTGTAACACATACCGATGGCTATCAGCAAAATACAGACGAATATATAGCAGAAAAAATGAAAAGCAAAGCAAAGAGACAGATGGACAGATGGAAAGATGGATGCAAGCCTGGATCTAGAAAAGTTAGGTGGGCTGTACGCTGACACTTCCATGTAGCAGGGTACTCAGGGTTAACACAAAAATGTTGTGGGAATTATTGCCTTGGTTTGGATACACATACATTTTCATGGCTGACTTACTTCACTGTCACCCAGTTACAATTTCAATAAAGCAAAGCAGCCAAGGAGCTGCATTTTGAGAATAAGCATAAGCAGTGTCGCAAACAAAAACCTCAGAAAACATATCCAGAAAGGATGTGGTAAACAACTGTCAGTCTGCATCCTTTTAAAAATACCCAGGGGAAGTACACTTCATTACTGACTATGCATATTTACCACAGACTTAACCTTTTCATTGAATAATTGAGTATCCTTCATATTCTGAACCAGATGAATGGTTTGGGAGAGTTGTTAGGGGGATTAGACTGCTTGTAAATAATCCTGGCATCCATCCATTTTCTTTTCCTCTCTAGAAAAAAAAAAAAAAAAGTCCATCAATGAAGGGAGATCACTCCAGAGGGACCAGTTTCAGAGCCGTGATTTATACGGCTACAGTTGTTTGGGAGATGTTGAAAAAACTAGTTGCTAGTGACCAAGAGAGATCTTCTATATTTATTTCAGAAGATCTTGGAGCAACCTAGCAGTGTTTTCTGGGTTCCAATGTGACTCACAACACATGTGAAGAAATGGAAAAGCCATTAAAAACAGTAATTAAACATTATTTTTTGCATGAGCACTATAAAACATACCTACCCCAAAGGATTAAGGTTGTTTGTATTTCTATTAAACTTGATATTAGTTAAAACTTCCTGTCTATACAAAGACATTGTTTGACAACTAGAACACTCCTGTAATCCACTTGAGTAACACACTAAATTATGTGTGTATGTACTCTCTAGATTGACATAATTTAAACATCATTTGGTTTTGAAAACTGAATGAGGACGTATTGCAAGAGAACAGAGATATAGACTGCTGGATATTTGTAAATCCCAGGATAGCAGCTATGTCTCTACCCTATTTGGTCAGCAACCACACTTTTTTTTTTTTTTTTTTTTTTAATTTTCTGCTCTGCTTCCAGGTGAAGTAGTCATTAGTGGGGACTGGAGAGGATGTTATTGTCTAGCACCTAATTTACACTCTGTGTTTTATACTGGTTGGGGTTTTCAATACTTTTGAGGTGGAAAACATTTTGGTTTTAATAGGCCAAGTGAAAAAAAAAAAAAAAAAAAAAAAAGTCACAATAAGACAGTTAATTTTTGGACCACTAACAGAGGTCCTAACACAGATGCATCACCTCCTCAGACTGTCCCACAATGGTCAGCAGAGAAAGAAGCACCTCCTACAGGAAGACTGCCTGAACATCTTTTTAGAGTATTGTATGTGCATGCAGGCATGCGTGTGCATATCTGTGTCCTTCCCTGTCCATTCTAACTGGCTACCTTCTCAAACCAACCACCCCACCAAGTGTCTGCAGTCATGGAAGACAAATTTGGCAGTGAGATATCAGCACCCTTCCTGCCACAAATAGGGCTAAAAAACACAAGTAGAGAAATATTGGCATTATATATTTACATGTATAAACTCTGTAACTGCTAAGAATATGCAGAAGAAGGCAAACATGATTTACAGCTTTATTTTTTTCTGCAAGGCTAAAAAAAAATACGGCTTCTCATAGCAAATGAAGCTTCACAGCACTGATATATCAGTTTGCAAACCACAAAACACTAGTGAGACTTCAGAGGAGAATTTTCCCAGATGAATGCTGGTGTTCTGTAAGTAATCAAAGCCCATACTTTAGTATTGCTTTTAACAGTCTGCAGCATGATGAAAGATGAGTCTTGTTCCTCCAGAGATGTATCCTAGCCCAACTTGTTGGGCATTTCTGTGTAATCATGGCCAAGAATACAGGATTTGATTCTTTCCAATATCAACAATCAAAATCTGATCATTAGGATGTCTGTCTCTCATATCCCCCAGAAGTAAAGAAACTAATATGAACATGCTAAATGAGAACTCGAAGTGGTTGCTTGTTGTGCCCAATCAATTAGACAAAATACTGCCCATGGAAGCATGAGCTAAACTGGATATGGTAGAAAGTTTCTAAAACTTTGCATTTGTGAAACACTCCAAGCATGGAACTGGATAACTATGCTCCGTCAAGGGATGCATTAATTCTGTGTCAAGTGATAATGGAGAGTTACTATGCAAAAATACAACTTTTTATTATCTATCCATTACAGTTTCATAGAATACATCCCTGGTGTACTTTTTATAAAGTGGGAGGATGATAGATATCCCATGCTACTCACTTTTTCTTTTCTGTTTTTCGTTTTCCTAAGAACAATGTCTTAAACCCTTTAAAACCTCAGTAAAAGAATCAGCACGTAGGAACTCATGTTCTATTTATATCGCATGATAGAAACACTGAAGCTTAGAAGGATATGAAACTGGAAGCAATGTAACCACATCAGCGTTGCTCAACAAAAGTGATTAGCTTAGCAAAAGAGAAGCAGTATTTTGGAACAAGACAGTATCTATCCAGTATGGATGTTTCAACTTGGAATGGTGTTAGAGCCAGTACTTGCATCTTTCTCTTCTACATAAGTATGCCCAGATTTATCCCACCTAACTTAAGGCACCTAAAAGACACATTTGTTAGGAGCATATTTGCCCTTGTGTCACTGTAAGTTATAAATAAATTATAAATTATAAGTTATGTATACTTAATGAAGAGAAATAGACATTTTACCTCTCGTGTCTTTGGTGTACTTTAACATAAGGCACTGTTTTATTTAATTTCTTTGAAAGTAATATCTGTCTTTTCTTTCCAACTCCACAGTTTTGAACCTAGACTCAAAACTAAAATATGATAAGTTTTATTTTCTTTCTTCTGCCATATTGTTCTCCATTTATTTATGCATGTGAAACATATTCTGTACATACAAAATGGTAGTACAAAAGCTTTGGAGTGTCTGTGTATTCCACATTGTTTCGCAAAGAAATTCAAGAGCAACTCATCAAAAATAGAAAGTGTATTACGTATGTATTTATTTAATAGTGCTGCCCTGAATCCAGCTAACATTCAAGGCAATTTGATTAACCATTTTCACTTCAGGAGCAACAAAATGAGAACTGTGGACAGTTTTGCATTTCTGAATCTCAAAGCCCAGCAGGAAAAAAAAAAAATGCAGAAAAGCTCCCTACGGGTCCTGCTGTGTAGGGCTGGCTGCACAGGCTCAGGACCACACTACCAGATTTGTATGGCCTTTGACTGGTGCAGCAGGAATAAGTGACACAGGCAGCCTGACAGCAGGATCAAGATGAATTAGATGAAATGTGAATGATCTGTGAACCACACAGCCCAGCACAGTTGCAAACATGTCTGAAAGCTAGCAGCACCCAGTCATAAGTGGTGAGGATCCTGCTTCCCCACGGCATTCCCAGGGCAGGAAGGCAGCAGCCATGTGAGTAGCTGCTTTAGATCAAAGTAATTGTAAATTTTCCCACTGGAATTCCCAAATGAAAAGAAAAGAAGCCTCCTGGGGGCTTCGTTGATGTGTGAGCCAGGTCAGCTTACAAAAATATGAAAGGAAATTCTTCTTGCCAAGACCCCATGAAGGAGCTGTTAGGGCTTCCTGTTAAATATTTTCTTGCTAACAGTGGAGCACACTCTAGCCAGTATTTATGCTATGTCAGAAATTTGTACTCTTTTTTTTTTATTCATTCCACAATCCTCTGATATTTGAAGCCATTTGGAGCTTTATTCCAACCTGCTTCTTTCCAGAGCTGGCCCAAAGGGTAAGTCTGTAACATCTGTGTTCATTCCAGAATCAAATTATTTAAATATTTATTTCAAGCGCATTCCCGGGAAGCATGAGGCTCAGCTGCAATTATGTTCTGCTTGAAATTAATTACCAGTTGGCACCTCATGTAGCCTTTGCAATGACTGAGTCCAGAGCTTATTGAGGAAGAGGCGGCCTTTCACATTGTACCCCAAGCAGTCACTGCAAGAGCAAAATTTATTAATAAAAACAAAAATATTTCACAGCACCAAGACCTGTGTGTGTGAAAGAAACTGTAGGAAATCTGTTGTACCTGCCCCTGGAAGGCCAGTGGCTGCTGAGAGTTCCTTCTCTCTGCACTTTGAGCTGTACAAAGATGACAGTCACACAATGCCTACTTTTTATTTTATTATTTTTATTTTAGTTTATTATTTTTATTATTTTATTTTATTTTATTTTATTTTATTTTATTTTATTTTATTTTATTTTTAATTTTTTTTGGCCAGATGAGGCTGCTTCCTGTGGCCAGATTGCCACAATGAGCAAAGTGGTGTGGTGGAGTGCCCCTGCAGGCATCAGCTCTGCCTTCACACACTGCCTGTACACAGGATTAGAGAGCCACTAGCACAAAGGAGCGACTTTGAAAGCAAACCATAGCACAGATTTGTTTGGTTGGTCGAGTTTTAGTTATCACACCCTTTACGTATGGTTGTCCTGTCAGATTCGATGCCATTGGAGGCTGTCTGAAGGTGCCACAGGCTCTCAAGAGGGCCAGCCTGGTCATGCTCAGAGCTGCTAGCATAGCTGAGAGCCTGCTCCAGGGTGAACAGGGAGGGTGCCCTGAACTGCGGCTGCTGCCTCACCTAGCCCCATATACCCGGGGGCTTAAAGTTACCTCTGAGCTATCCTTACGGGTCCCCTCTGCAGCCCTGGTGGGATGCAGTGGGTCCAAGGAGTAAAAATCCTCTGGCTCAGTGTGCAGCTCTGCCTGTATGGCACAGTGCGGTGCCCAGCCAGCTCAGGTTCTGCACCTCTTGCTGGCTATTTTTGCAGTAGTTCTTGCAATCATGAAAGAGTTTTCAGATGTTTACTTCTGGCTGTACCAGCTTGATATCGTTTGTTCAAATGCTGTGCAACTAAAGCTAAAGTAAAGCAATTTATTTTGTCCTGTTGTAATGATAACTTCTGTCATACAACCACATTGCATACAAATACATTGGTCATTTCTTTTAAATAAAAGTAAAAAGGCTCAGTGGACCTGTCATTGCTTTTATTTTAGATACAATAAAGATCTAGCAGTTGTGTTGGAAACCACAGAAAGAAAATAATATATTCCACAAATAGAAACACCTCAGAACCTTTCAAACAATTCAACACAATTTACAAATTCAACACAATTTACAAAATACTTTTGTAAAAGTGAGTAAAATATCAGTCTGTAAAATATCCTCAGCTAATTTTGCCTTCAGATTAACAAATAAACAGGAAACAGCTCTGACTCATTGTAATCATACAATTATTTAAACAAACTTTAGAGTTAGGGCTTATATACTACTCTTTGTTACCTGGTCAGTCTGAGGTGTTTTGCAGAAAGATGTGCTGATACACAACTTTTTTTTTACTCCAAGCCAGATGGTGTTTTAATGTATGCTCTCCAACCTTTTCAGAATTGGATTTATGCAGATGTATGTGGTAAAACCATGTAGATGTCTGCCACAGTGTTATTGGCTTCATCCTTCTCGGGTCTTGCTGGTTGATCCCACCTGCTTTCCTCCCACCACCCATCTCACCTTCCTCTCCAGTCACCTGCTGGCCAAGACCCTTGCACTCCAAAATGGCGTTGGGTTTGGGTGCACATGCGGTGTTCACTGTGGTCTGCTCACGTGGGACTGTGCCATGCAGTGATACCACAGCAGATGCTCCACTTTAGCCACGCTTTGCCTTCCCAAGCTAGGCACGCAGCTCTGGCACAGGCAGGGCACCACCCTGCAAGTCTGTCATGTTGACTCACCTTCTCTTTTTCACGTTACCTCCCTCACCCCTTGAAATGGCAGTGTTGTCAGAAATTGTATGAAGTTGGTCTCTTCATTTCCAGATATACCCAATTGTAAGCAACAGTGAAGGTTGCTACCATGCCCATCTCACCTCTCTGATTAACCTGCCTGTTTTTTTTAAAAACAATAGCAAACAGCACTCATAGAAGGCAATATTTCTCAACAGGACAGAACCCCAGTACCTGTATATAACCATTAAGTATCTGTTCATCTTCTGAAAGCATATTTCCTTCTGCAGTTACTAAGAAGGGCAATACCAGTGTCTTTCTCCCACCCAAGTAACCAGCAAAGAGACTCATAAGCTGCAGAAATAAAATATAAGTCTGCTGGCTGAGAATTAATGGAACAATCTCAATGTCATAGGTGATTCTGAGCCCAAATCTTCCTCTTGTGACCACAAAAAGCAAATCAGATGTTTTAAAGTTCATGGTATCATAGACCTTTTAGGATGCTGTACATAATCATTAAGACATCTTCCACAGTAATCAAACAGAATTTAAAACTGGGAGGGGAAATAAACTTCCCTGTACATAAACAGAGGATTTACAGCAATTAATTCTTTACTCAGTAATTCCCTCAAAAACCTTAAGACTCTCTGGTGAAAGGCTAGACCTGTTATACAGGAAAACAACATTGCATACATCTAGCTCCACAACCCCACTGTATTGACTACTCACACCAAATCAGTTAATGACTAATTAATTATAACAACAGAGACTTAATTTCCAGATAGTGATGACTGCACTTGCATTCACATCAAAAAGGGCTCCTCTGAAGCAGAGCAGCTCTGCATGCAACTAATAAAGTGGCCTTTGACATTCAGCAATCAGTCCATTCCTGCTCACTGTGCCAGGTCTATGGCTTCATCCTGCCACAAATGCCATTTATTTTCAGCCATGAACAGATACATTTCTTCAGAAAGTTCAACCACTCCAGGAATGACCTGGGAGAATGACCTGGCTTTTGACACCATTTCCCACAGCATTCTCCTCAAGAAACTGGCTGCTCTTGGCTTGGACTGGCATACACTTCGTTGGGTGAGAAACTGGCTGGGTAGCCAGGCCCAGAGAGTCTTGGTGAATGGAGTCAAATCCAGCTGGAGGCCGGTCACTAGTGGAGTCCCTCAAGTCCCTCAGTACTAGGGCCAGTTCTCTTTAATATCTTTACTGATGATCTGGATGAGGGGATCAAGTGCACCCTCAGTAAGTTTGCAGATGACACCAAGTTAGGCGTGTGTGTCGATCTGCTTGAGGGTAGAAAGGCTCTGCAGGAAGATCTGGATAGGCTGCACCGATGGGCTGAGGTCAACTGCATGAAGTTCAACAAGGCCAAGTGCCGGGTCCTGCACCTGGGGCGCAATAACCCCAAGCAGAGCTACAGGCTGGGAGATGTGTGGTTAGAAAGCTGCCTGGTGGAGAAGGACCTGGGAGTATTGTTTGATAGTCAGCTGCATATGAACCAGCAGTGTGCTCAGGTGGCCAAGAAGGCCAACAGCACAGCCTGGCTTATATCAGAAACAGTGTGGCCAGCAGGGCTAGGGAAGTGATTGTCCCCCTGTACTCGGCTCTGGTGAGGCCGCACCTCAAGTGCTGTGTTCAGTTTTGGGCCCCTCACTACAAGAAGGGCATGGAGGTGCTCGAGAGAAGGGCAACGAATCTGGTGAGGATTCTGGAGAACAAGTCTTATGAAGAGCAGCTGAGGGAGCTGATGTTGTTCATCCTGGAAAAGAGGAGGCTCAGGGGCAACCTTATCACACTATACAGGTATCTTAAAGGAGGCTGTAGTGAGGTGGGGATTGGTCTATTCTCCCACGTGCCTGGTGACAGGACAAGGGGGAATGGGCTAAAGTTGTGCCAGGGGAGGTTTATGTCGGATGTTAGGAAGAACTTCTTTACTGAAAGGGTTGTTAGGCATTGGAACGGGCTGCCCAGGGAAGTGGTTGAGTCACCTTAGTGATATGGTTTAGTGGAAGACTTGTTAGTGTTAGGTAAGAAGTTGGACTCGGTGATCTTGGAGGTCTCTTCTAATCTAGATAATTCTGTGATTCTGTGAAATTTCCCTTTGCTTTCCAGCTCCTCTTCCATGTC